TTTCAGCCCCAGCCCGCTGCCCCCCGACGTCCTGGAGGACGTTTTCGGGTAATTTACACAAACGTAGCGAGAAAAAAAGAGCATCCCAGAGGCCAGATGTGACCCAGATGTGCTCCTCTCTGTGTCCCACAGCCGGTTCGGATCCCTCATCGAGGTGCATTTGGTGCCGGGCAGGAAAGTGGGATACATGAAGTACGCCGACAAGCAGGTAAAGCACAGTCTGGGGCTTAAAAAGCACCTTAAACTGTTTCTCAAAGGTTCCCAGACATGCACTCACTAATTTTATTTTTGTAATGTCATCGTCTGAACGTGTGTTTGGACTGATTTTGTATTTTGTGATTTTGTGTTGTTTGGTCTTCCTGCCTGAGGACTAAAGATGTAAACTAGCAACTATGCTATAATCTGGCTCATTTACAATCTGTATGAGATTGTTCATTAATGTGCACTGTCCTGATTAAATAAATAAATAAAACCAGGTCTGGGGCGGGTAAAGTAACATAGAAACAATGTTTAAACATAATTACGGTAACTAAAACACAAACCAAAATAAGGGTTGTCACGATACTAAAATTTTGAACTCGATACCGATACTCAGGAAAATACTCGATACTCGATACCATTTTTGATACCACAAGGATAAAAACAAAGACCCCAAAATTTTACCTAATTGTGTCTTCCATCTCTAACTGACCAGTGACCTGTTACTGATGTTATGGTGGCCCACATTAATGACCCTAACCCTAACCCTGACCCTAAACCTAAACCTAACCCTAACCCTAACCCTAACCCTCCAGCCTTCATAATTGGGAAAAATAAATATTTTTGGGTTAAACTTGTTTGAACATATTGTACAAACCGATTTAATATACACTATTTTAACATAATATGTATAGAATTGAATTAAGTGTTTGAAAGATGAATTTAACTATTTTTAAATTGATGTCTATTAGGGTTGTCACGATACTAAAATTTTCAACTCGATACCGATACTCAGGAAAATACTCGATACTCGATACCATTTTCGATACCACAAGGATAAAAACAAAGACCCCAAAATTTAACTGACAGGTTAATTGACAAATGTTTTTTGACAGGTTAGTGTCTTTCATTTCAAACTGACCTGTTACTGATGTTATCGTGGCTGGTGGCCCGAATTAATTACCCTAAACCTAACCCAAACCCTGACCCTAACCCTCCACCCTTCATAATTGTGAGAAACAATTTTTGGGTTAAACTTGTTTGGACTTATTGTACAAACCTATTTAACATCCACTATTTTAACATAATATTATGGATAGAGTTTAATTAAGTGTTTGAAAGATTAATTTAACTATTTTTTTAAATTCATGTCTATATTGCCATGAGGTATTACTATTTTCTTGCCTGGGATTTTCCTTTTTGTGACGTAATCAAAATGGCCGATTTGGATGTGGGCTGAGACGGATATGTACTTGATTAATGTTGGCGTGTTATTATTAGCCATTAGCCGCAGCTAGCAGTTCAAGGCTAACGTC